AGAGAGAGAGAGAGAGAGAGAGAGAGAGAGAGAGAGAGAGCACCTGGCACATCAAAAACAAAATCAATATGATATCTCAACACTGGATATTAACTCTAGTCTACAAGAGCAAAAATCAAAAAAAAAAAAAAAAACTAACATAGGACTCTGCCCAGTCCCTTCATTAAAAGCAGAGGTAACAGGCACCGGAAAGAATCGGCTTTTCCTGACATTAGGCAGCTAACGAGAGGCAGTCAAATCCCAGTCACCAGAAAACCAGCCAGCTCACAAGCAGGCCACACTATAGCAGGAGAGGACTGGGTTAGAGGAGGGGAAGAGAGTTCTACCCACTTTACCTCGGTCACTGGCAGGGACTGAACACATTCCACACATACTTGGTGGCATGTGTTGAGTTATATAGAGCTCTTACCCCTGTGCCCTTTACATGCCCATTCTACTGCTTAGCAAACTGACACACTGTGTGGTTGAATGATTTCATCAAGTTAATAAGTGATTTGAAACTTAAACCTGGATTTTCAAACCCCAAATGCTGAACTCCCCTTCTCCACGTGGTAATTTAGATTTTTTTTACATTTATTTATTTATTTGTGGGTAGATGGGTGCACAGGACAGCTTGCAGGGGTTGGCTCTCTCCTTCCACTGTGTGTGTTCTGAGGGTTGAACTCAAGTCTTCAGGCTTGACAGCAAGCACCAGTACCCACTGAGCCATCTCACTGGCCCCCATATGCTAATTTTGAATCACTTCATTCCTTTCTTTCTTTATTCCACTATTCTTGAATGTTATGTATCTTGGGTTCAGAAACCAAGCTGTCCTGTGTATCCGTAAGCATCGAGACTTCTGCCAAGACAAGAAATCTCTGGTTTATCGGGTAGGTTTCCAGAAATGCATCGTCTGCTAGCAACACCTCTCTGTGTGGGGACAAGGCTTCAGCATCTACAGAGCCTGTTTTTCTCATTGGATGTCTACTCTATAGAGTAGAATGGCCTTTCAGACAAGATTCAGTAGACCAAAGCCTTGCTCTGTGTTCTTTTCACATAATCATGGAATGGATCAGCACCTAACAAACGCAGAGAGCCACTGTTTAAGGTAGGAGGGGGTTGGGTTAGCTGGACCCTGGTAAAAAGCCATTGGAGACAGAAGCCCTAAGGCCCCATTATGCTCTTCTCTTACCCTATCCTGCCTCATTTGCAGTATCAGGGAGAACCAGTGCTGGTTACTTTCCCTTTTGTAAAGAGGGACAATGGAGTATGCATCCTTGTTGTAGCCACTGGTCCCTGAGGTCTCTGTGAACCGGGTAGACCATGACCTGTGAGGATGTCTTTGGGCTTCTGGATTCCTGGCTCTCTTATTAGAAAGTTGCATCTTGATGGGGGTGTGGGCATGGTCTGTGGAAAATTCAGCTCTATCTACACAAAGATCGTGAGGGAGGGAGGCACAGAACTTACCGTCTCTGGACACACTGCTCCAGAACATGTCAGCAACAGCCCACTGGCCTGCCAGTAACCTGGGCAGAAGCTGAGCTTGGGCTGAGAGCCTTCAAAAGCCAATGGGGAGGTGATAGAATGGGCTTTTCTCAGAACCAGAGACACTAGAGCATGGTGTCACTTCCCAGATAATGTCTCCAGAAGACTGGAACCCCTGGTGACAGCCACTAGCTGAGATTTTCCTTCCCATGCAAGCAAATCCAGCTGCTTCAGAGAACAGGGAATGGTCACTAAAGTTTCTAGCTCATAAAGCCTAGCCAAGGACACAGCCTGGAACATCTGTCCCTTGTACCTAGTACTTCCAAGGCCTTGGCCTAGAGCTCTGGTCCTGATTTCTTCCTTGGAAGGGTTCCATTTCTCTCATGCCATTCTCAGGATACCTTATCCAACACATTCCATACATGACCAAGCATAGCGCCAGTAAGGACAGAGAATTAACCCCTAGGGTCACTTAGTAGTAGCCAGAACACTCTTTGGTCACAGGGTGGACAAATTCCCTCAGTGACGCATCATTAGGAAGCGGCAGTTCCCAGGGTCCTGGCCAGGAAGCTGCTGAGGACCATAGTCACAACAGGATCCCTGCCCCGCCCCCCCCCACATTCCCCCCCTCCAGCCTGATCGCAGGGACACTGACTTCCTAGCATCTCCCAGGCCAGCCTCCTGGAATGGCGCTTCAATGCCATTCTCTTGGGATTTGTCCCCCTTGGGAAAAGCAGTGTGGCTCTCCCACACAGGGCAGATGCCTAAGCCAGATACTTGGATGCATTTTGGAGCCCTTACCATGGTGCCGAGCGTATACTTCAGCTACTCTCTGTGTCTACTCTCCTCTCTCCTTGCACGTTCTTCTTTTGTAATGCCTTCAGGACTCAGTGCGATGCTTTCCAGCACACAGCACACTAAATAAATGCTTAATCGAATAGCACTGTGAGAATCACTTGATTGGGAGCCCCTCTCATCATTACAGCTCCTGCCCTTTACTTCCTAGCCCTGATGACCCTGCTTGCTTTAGTTTTCCAATGTGCTCAACTGAACTGACACCTACAGAGACCACTTCCATCTGCCAGGTGTGCGTATGTGGCGTATGTGGCATGTGTAGTGTATGTGGCGTATGTGGTGTGTGTGGCGTATGTGCCGTGTGCGTGGGGAGTACACTTGCCCATGTGTAGGGCAGCCAGATGCAGGTGTCAGGTGTTTTCTGCTCCCGCCACCCCACCACCTTACTTTTTGAGATAGAGTCTCTCATTGACCCTGGAGCTAAAGCTGGTTGGCCAGTGAGCCCCCAGGAGCCACTTGCCCAAGTACCCCCATTACTACGTTACAAACAAATACCACCTTGCCCGCTCCCCCCCTCTTTCCTCCTTCCTTTCCCTTCCTTCCCCCCTCCCTCCTTCCTTCCCTCCCTCCCTCCTTCCTTCCCTCCCTCCCTCCTTCCCTCCTTCCTTTCTTCCTGACCCAAACTCAGGTCTCCATGCTTGAGCAGCAAGCTCTTGATTCTTGAGCCTCTCCCCAGCACCTGCCCCCACCCAGGTTCTTTCCTAAGCCTTGGCCTGTGTCAATCTAATCCTCGTGGCAGCCCTGATGACAAGGTAGTATTACTTTCACTCCCGCTTACAGATGAGGAAGCTGGGACATAAAAGACTTAGTGCCCAGGTGTGGAGCCAGAGGGTGAAGCAGGCAATGGCCAAGGCTCTAACCCTAACCCTGAGGCCTCCATCACCGAATGCTTCAGACTGAGCAGGCCAAAGTCACACGAGGGGGGCCCTGAGCTATGACCCTCCAGTCCTCGGAACACACACTGTTCTCTGCACTGGGCATGACCTAATGTTATGTAACTTTACCCTGGCTATTAGTGTTTTCTTTTCTCCAGTTGAGAAAATGGAGGCTCTGAGAGATTAACTCACCGAAGGTGACAAAGTTAGTTATCGCCACATCTATTTCTAGAACATTATTCTATTTCCCCTGCCTAGCATGGGTTGCTAGGCTGAATTTGCACCTCCAGCTAAAGGGACTGTCAGGATCAAGGCTCTGGGATTCGGTGACCTTTAGGATGGTCTCATGGGAGTGATCTGCACACTGCTCACTGTCCTGTTTCCTCCCTTCCCTGGCAGGTGTGGATTTGAGAGGAACCCAGTCTGATGCGGCAGGAATGAGCATAATAGGCATAGAGCTTTAGGACTGCACCTTGCTGTACTGAGTGACAGCTGGACTTGGCACGAGATCGCAGGGGGCAGTGCACACCTGGGTGGAGGCTCCCAGCTAATTGGCTCATGGGATCTGGGACGGATTGGAAGGTTCACACGTGCAGTATGCCAAGAGTCTAAGACAGGAGGAAAGAAAGAGGAGATGACAAGAGGGGTTTGAACAGGTTCCGGGGCTGCCGGGAAGGGGTTCACTCACTGGTAAGCCTGCAAAGGCTCTTCGACAAGGGTGGATACTGACAGTGCACTTGCAGAAGCAGACAGAAAAGCACTGTGCGGAACCCCCAAAGGAGAAAACTCTCTGCCTTGGGGTTCCGTTGGAGCACCCTGGTGCTTACACACTTATACAGCATGTGCTCCAGCCTGGGCACTTTTTGAAGCATTAAGTCATTAAAGGTAAAACATTTCAAATTGAGATTCCAATGTGAGACCCGAGAGGACAGAACCAAGTTAGGATCAAGGCCGTTTAAGGCCACTCCATGTAGGATTGATAATCTCCCCCCTCCCCCTCATTTGAAAATAGGGGCTGTGTGTCTGTGACCTGGCTCCTTGTATGGGGATTGTATTCACGCTGGCAAGACTGAGTCCTGCGTATCTCTTTCCAACTCTTCAGTAGCCATTTGGGTCACGGAAGGAGCATTTACACCATGGAAACTGGCAAATGCTACAATTCATGCTCCTCGATCCCCCTGCCCGCAGCCAACTGCTGGCACATCAACCTAGGGCCATAGATTATGGGGAACTGTCTAAACTACTTAATTAGTCCCCTCAACAAACATTTTAGCACCCTCTTTACCTACACTGCTTGTATAAGGTGCTGGGGACAGAGCAATGACTAAGACAGACAGGAACCCAACTCTGTCCTCGCGGAGTTAAGTCTAGCAAGAGGAGGACACAGACATGTTAACCCAGACATCAATCCAACTAAGTTCATTGTAATGACACAAAGGAAAAGGAGGCAGAGAAGAGCAGTCACCCTCCCTGATCCTGCAGCTGACTGACCCTGTACTGCTTTTTCGTGGGGAAGCAAAGCACAACCGCTTTAGTATTTTCTTGCTCTTCAGGCCTCCATGCTCTTTATGAAAGGTAACTTCGGCACTGCCGCTGGGTCACAGCTCTCAGAGAGGATCTTGCAGCCATAGGAGAGACAGCCGACACCTTAGCTGAGCATGCTCGGCAAAGTGGCCCTCCTCCCCCACTCGCACCTGGCCAGCCCAGCTCCCTGCCACTCTTCTGCTCCCCAGGACATCACGGTTTCCATGGGAACACACACACACACACACACACACACACACACACACACACACACTTCAAAGGGGAACGAAGGAGACTGCAGGGGAGGTGGGGAGTGAAAGCTGGATTAACCTCACCCTCTTGGCCCCGGGTCTGCTCTGCCTCCTAATCCCCAGTTGGTCGGTCTCAAGCTGCAGCTGACACCTGACCACCGTTTGGCAACATGGCAGGTGGGTGCAGCAGTCCAAGTTACACTTGAACTTCTCGGGAAGGAAACATCCAAGTTGAGGCGGAGGGGGGGGGCTGTGAAAACTGAGGGCCATCCGAACCTAAAGGCTCCTTCTCCACAGGCCTCCCCTCGTCCGATTCCCTCTCATCATTGCTCCTGGGCCACAAACACAATTACCCGGGATGTGCATCCAATCATGGGATCTGCTTGGATTAGACTGAAATCATTAATCTGAGCTGGAGCTCCTGGCTGCCTTGCTGATTAGCCCAGATGATGCTCTGGTATGATCCAATTAAAGACAAGTTCTGCTCGCCCCCTCCCCCAGCTTCCAGATCAGAAGGGAACCAATACATTTCATTAACACATCCTTATACACAAATAAAACCTTGGGGGCACTGGCAGGATCCCTCCTCTTTGTCATACTGCCCCTCTGCCTGTCAGCAGGGGTTGTAGGCCCGGGGGGGGGGGTAGCTTCCCCTTCTTCCTCCATCTAGGAAGGGGCCACAGGGAAGACTTCCAAAAAACAGTGGTGCTAGGCACTGATCTGAATGGAAAGGGTCTTGTTATATTTATTGACATAAAATGTGGGCTCCCTGATGTGCTTTGGAACAACCAAACTGCCCCGGGCAGGCAAATCTAATTAAAATTACCGACCCTACAGGAGGCTGGGCATCTAAGCAATGGCTGCGGATGGGGCTGCTGGTACTAGTAGGGAAAGGTGTGAAGTAGGAGCCAGCTCTGAATGTAGGAGACTAGAGAGCTGAGGAGCTGGGCAATGGTATAGGCGTTAGCCTCAACCTATCTATCTGTCGGAGCCTGTCAGCCATGGGTGCCTAGGAATGCCTGTACTGGGTCAGACGGCCACAGCCTACCTTAGGTAAATGCTAAGGGATTTTGTTGGGTTAGCCCCAGAGAAGAAAAAGGATGAGCAGGAAGAAGTGTTAACTGCAGGATGATCTGGGGCATACTTCACGTGACATGGTGGACAGGTCTGGAGGGGCAGTGGGTCACCTCTCCTGCAACTTGGCTTGGGTGTAGCATGAGCCTGGAATCGTGAGAAGGACCGGGAGTCCATGGGTGCGATGGTCTTGTGAGGTACGACTCTGCTCTATGCCAGCCACGGTGCCAGGTGCTTACATGGGCTGCCTCATTAACTCTTACTAAATATGCTGCTTGTGTCTATCATGAGCCTATAGCTCGGTGAGAGGTAGGAGCAAGCCTGGGGGTCCAGAAACTTTCTGTGCCTAGCAGAGATCATGACTGGGTGCAGATCGGTAATTGTGTTTGTGGCCTAGGGCAATTAGGAGAATGGAAGGAAGACCAGCCAGGGCTTTACTCGTGAACTAAGCAGAGTCTTCACAGAGCCTCTCACCCTAGCCACCGTGGTGGCTTCTCCCAAAGAGCACCTATTTTCTTTAACTGTATTCTTTTGTGTATGTGAATGTTTCACCCGTACCACAAAGCCAGGAGAAGGCATTGGACCCCCTGGAACTGGAGTTACAGATTATTGTGAGCTGCCATGTGGGTGCTAAGAATCAATCTGAGTCTTCCGGAAAAGCAGTCAGTGCTTTTAACCCCTGAGCCATCTCTCCAGCCCGCAAAGATCCTCTTAATCAGAGGCACTCTCAATGATGCACGCCACACACCCCATCCCTGTGGATCTGCAAACATGCCCAGGATTAGCCTCTGATGTGCATATGATCACCCAAGACCATGTGAATTTTAGGTGTTCAATCCTGAGGTTTGGGTGAGCCCTGAGACACTGCCACCCACCCCCCTGTGTCTCTCTCTCTCCCTCCCTCCCTTCATTCCATCCTTTCTTTTTGTAAGACAGGGTTTCTCTGTAGCTCTTGGAGGCTGTCCAAAAACTGGCTCTGTAGACCAGGATGGTCTCGAACTCACAGAGATCTGCCTGCCTCTGCCTCCCAAGTGCTGGGATTAAAGGAGACACTGCCTTTTAGTCAGCCCCCATATGATGCGATGCTGCTGGCCCATGGAACACATTTGGAGTATTGATCTAAACAGAGCACTGTGAGCATAAGCCTGATCCTTCAGGTCACCAGGTAGCTTTCAGAGGCCACTTAGTTCCTTTTCCTTCTCAAGCTGCTTCTCACCAAGACACACACCTACAAGAGTTGCCCAGTCTCCTGTACAGGCAGCCGTGAAATGTCTCTGTTCACCCGCAGGTGCTCTGACTGATCTCGACCCTAGAACACAGCAAGTTCTGTTTAGCCTGAAAGGGCTTGCCTGTGTGTTTCTCTATCTGGTGGAGTTTCTTGCTCCGCCAATAAGACCAGTCACAAACATTGCCTCCCAAAGGAAATCTGCCCAGTAGCTCTGAGTACACAGTAGTGCCTTCTTATTTGCATATCTATTGGGTCCTGGGGTGACAAGCACTTGTATTTACCTTCCTACCTCACCCCATTTCCCAGGAGTCTAACAAAGTGCTTGCAATATTAATAGTAATGATTCAGTAGGAGGGAAGGAGGGAGGCCGGTTTGTCCTCTCTGAGAGTTACCAGTGCCAGTTACTCCAGTTACTGTGAGCGTATCCCAGAATTCTCTGGGCAGAGCTCTGCATCCACAGGCAGTAGACCTGACTTGTGCATTGCGCAAGGCAGGGAGGGACCAGGTACTGCTTTATATTTCTGCAGGACCTAGGTGTTAGCATTAGAGGCAATCAGTTTAGCCGAGTAACTAAAAATAATGCTGCTGATAATGATGATAACATCACTAATTACCACCATTACCATAAAGGCATTGTCTTTGGGGTGTGGGGCAGGAATCAATCTTCCTGTTCATTTGTCTTCCTGTTTGCCTGTCCTGGGTGCATCGTTCCCAGAGTGACTGGCATTAGCTGCGATGTATACCCTGCCAGGGGTCACTGCACTTGCATGAGAACATGAGAAATTGCAGCAGCCAGCCTCAACACATAGTGCAGACTTGGGATTCTTTTCTCTGTACCGGGGGATCCTGGTGAACAGATGACAATACAAACCTCATCCAGGCCTGTTTTTAGATAACTACACCTTCTTCCCCAAGCACACGCACTAGAACTAGAGTTCATCAAGGCAAATGGGTTAACCTGAGCCTCGCCACCTTCTCATTCAGGTGTTGCCCTGGGTAAAGGGTGCAGGCAGAATGAGATAGACGAGCTACTTGCTCTCAGCATGCTCACTTTGGGCAAGCACCAGGACCCACACAGCCACACACGACACCTACTGCCAGGCAGCATGGGCCAGAGCACAGCCCAAACAACAGCTGCACCAAGTTTACTGGAATGCTGACAAAGACAATTCACATCCCTTTTCCCGTTGACCGACCAACTCATTCGACCTGTCTGAGCCTGCAGCCCAGGACTGCGTGTTTTTAATAAGCTCTCCCTGTTTGTACACACACAGCTTATTCACTACCAAGTTGTAGATGGCGCAACCAGATGACCGGCGAGCTTGTTGAAGTGAAGGCAATGAGAACCATGGCAGAGAGAGGGTTTGATTGGCTGAACTGAGGGTTTCTGGTGTTCACTAGGGCCCATCTTCCCACTTGAGATGGGAAGGGAGTCTTCATGGCTGACACTGTCCAGCCTTTCCTATCTCTCACAGATACCTCGTGCAAGCTAAAATAAACCCACAGTGACCCGCTGCGGGCAAGTGGATTCTAAATTGAGGGCTGCTCGGGCAAGCCGCTGCTGGTCATCACTGTTGACGAGCCTACCCTCTGATCTGCAATCTCAAAGCTCGGAAAGACTGGCTGGAGAGTCCCCTACCTGTACACAGCGCGCTTGTCAGCTTCCAGCTGGGCCTGGGGATCAATGGGGGCACTGGGCACAGGTGTGCTGGCGGTAGCTGAGGAGGCTGAAATGTGGACAGCCTGGGCCTTGGCGGGTGGCTGGGTAGTTGCTGTCATCTGCGGAGAGAAGAAAGGAGGCAGATGAGATGGAGTGGGGGGCGGGGTCTTCCTCGGTCTGTGCTGTACCTGGAAGAATGTGGACAAGAGAGCAGTAGAGATGTAACATGCATCCTTATGCATGTGCCACAGTAAAACAGTCTTCCCATTTTCTTGAAATGAGTATGTGCTAGGAAACAACGTAGTAACCAGGGGATGGATGCCCTCCACACTTTGAAAACCAAGAAATTATTTCATTTTGCTGAGACAGGGTCTCCTGGAGTCCAGGCTGGCTTCAAACTTGAAATGTCACTGAGGTGCATCGTGAGTGTGCAAGCTTCCTGTCCCCACTCCCAAACACTGGGATTACAGGTGTAGCTGTTGCGTTTTGACGTGAGAAAGAGTTCTGACTGTAAATGTGATCTTTGCCCAGAAGTGAAAACGAACAAATGAAACCACTACAAAACACAATGCCATAGAGTATTTAAATTATGTTTATGAGTCTTTTGCATTTGAGCGGTTTTGTGTGTGTGTGTATGCATGCGTATCAGGTGCCTGTCTGGTGCTCTTGGAGTTCAGAATACAGCAGGGGGTCCCCTGAAGCTGGAGCTAAAGATGGTTGTGAGCCACCATGTGGGAGCGGGAACTGAACTCGAGTCCTCTGCAAGACTATCAAGCGCTGCTAACCACTGAGCCAACTCTGCAGCTCCTGTTTATGAGTCTTTAGAATAGTATTGGGTTTGATTAGATAACTTTAAAAAGCAAGGGGAAAGAGGCTGAATTATTTTTCATTTGGACAGTTTTACTTATTCCTTTTAATGAAAGCCAAGAGCTAACTCTTCTAGTAGTTTTGATGGCTGAATGGATGGCTCTCCAAATTTGGCTTATGTGGCTACTTGAAGATGGAGTTTTTAATAGACAATGAACAGATGTCTGCTTTTGGTCATAGCAACAACTTCAGAGAAGTGGTTTTCATAGCATACCATCGGGTTTTGAAGGTGACAATTTTACACCAATTCCTTTAATATAATATGTTGGATTTCCTGGCTAACTTTCATTTAATGAAATGGTCCAATATGTCTAAAATTTTTGAAAGCCATTATAATAGAATTTAATTCTTTTATATTATATTCTGTTAGTTAAACAGACCCCTAGAATGGCGATGTGTCAACACATCTGTATTATTCTTCTCCATTCACCTATCCCTGACACCATGATAGCACTTATCACACTGTTCTTGGACAGAACACACATTGTCTCTGGCGCTAATGCCTATTCACCACCACTCAACTGACCACACTTAAATAAAAATGACTGAGGTTTGACAAAAACATTTGTCAATAAAAAGAGTCAATGAGCTGGGTGTTGGTGGCACACATCTTTATCCCAGCACTCAGGAGGCAGAGGCCAGCCTGGTCTACAAAGCGAGTTCTAGGACAGCCTCCAAAACAATACAGAGAAACCCTGTCTCGAAAAACCAAAAAAAAAAAAAAATAGAGTCAATGAATAAATAAATGAATACATGGAATCAGGAATTTCACTGCTTGGGAGTTCATAATAGGATCCATGTTCCTGCTTTATAGAAGAAAAAGTATTTTGTGATTACAACTCATTATTGCTAAGTGCATGTCCCCAGGACATTGACAGCTCTTGCTTTCTCTACTTACATCTCTGCTCAGGTGCCACCCTTTAAGGAAAAATCTAGCCCTCCTCACCCGCAGGCCCCTTGCTTTATTCTTCCTGTATATTCCTCACCATGACCATAAGCTATATGCATATTAGATATCTTCTTCCCACTTGTCTCTAAAACTCAAGGAGGGCTCATAGCAGTTGTATTCTGTCACTAGAAGGCATTGAATATATGTTGAATCAGTGGATTAATGAATAACAGAGGATAAATGGGACACTGTAAAAAAAACCCAAATCTGTGATTTACTATACTGTATCATTTTTGTCAAACAAGAAACATCCCTGCCACTATGGGATACACGTGCAAACTCGCTGCAGAGGAGGCTTGGGAGAGCACAGAGTACCTCGAAACCAGCCGACAATTGCTTGTCCCTTGATTCGCCTGTGACTTCAGACACATCCCTTAAGTTGCCTAAGATCCTGTTTCCTCATCAGTATGCATTTGGGATTGGTTGCTCCTTAAAGAGGTGCTACATGAATGAAGAGTGAGGCAAATATTGTACTAGCCTTCACGACGTAGAAGGAGGACATACTCTGAAAACGGCGGTCCTCTTCACAGTGATCTGGCCTGGACCCTCTCATCCTCACCCACTAACGACATGTTTGCAGGTGCTTCCGGCACTGCGCTACATTCTAGGCTCACAAAGAGCAGTGCCTGGCAGCATGGAGAACTGGGCAAGATTGTTAATCTGGCAGACGAGGAGAAGACAGTGTAATTCACCTGGGCTACGCATTTCCCACTGTACTCAGCCTGGTGGACAATTGCACGGACTGTGAACTATACCTCACAGATGACAATTAAAGGACGGATGTCAGCATGCGGGAGGTTTCTAGGCAAAGGCCACATGCTTCTCTCTTTTGGTCATCTTTTTAAAAACATTTTTTCTTAGTGATATAAAGGCCGAAATGTTCAACAAATCTGTGGACAATGAGAAACTTGGACCCAACAGGTCTTTACATATTTGGACAATAGGGCAAACCTAATAAGATTATTTTTTCATCTAATAAGTTAAAATTGCACATTTCTAAAAATAAAACACAATCAATGATGTAGGCACAGAACTGGGGATGCAGGGGCTGGCATCAGTGCATCAGCTGATGGCTAGCTCGATATAGCCAAGGCGTAATGCGTCTGTGAGCAACGAACAAGCGAATCCCAACATGAAGTAATGCTATCTGAGGAGGCACTCTGTGCTCTACCAATGAAAGCCTAGCGCACACAGAGCGAGGAGGTTAGGATCCGGTTCCCCCTCAGACTAAACAAGTATATGAAGGCATGTCCCCAGGACAGCCGTGCAGCATGGTGAAGGGATCCTGTAGTTTGTTACCTGAAGACTATCCAAAGGACCCTAGAATGTGTAAGCATGGCTTGGTAAGCAGGGGGCAGGGGAGACAAGATTTCCCCCGTCAAATATCTCAATGGGGGGATGATGATGAAACACGAGAGCTGTCGAACGTACTCTAGTCATAAAGCAAGCCCAGCGACATCAGCACAACGCATCACAGGGTAACACGTCAATGCGCTGGTACGCTCTGCTGTGCCCACTAAGTAAACTGTCTGGTGTCCTTGAAGGAATCCACAGAGGCCTCCACTAAGACGGGCCTCTAGAGCAGAGAGGGGTGAGGGAGGTCCTCCGCCTGGACTGGGGAAAGGTAATGGAAGGCGCTGATGGGATAAAGATGAATGCTCAGAATAAAAATTAAATCAAAATCAGTCATCTGCAGATCTCCCGAGAGACCCTGAGAGGCTGTTAGAGGGTGGGAGAGACCAGACCTGGTTTGAGAAGGAGGATGACTCAAATTTATGTGGCCCAGGGGGGCCAATTCAGCAAAATCTGCATTTCTTTCCGGTTTGGAGGATGAATGTTTATTTCCAAACAGGTTTTCTTCACTAGCCGTTTCCAAAGACCTGGAATCCAAAGACCAGCCCCTGTGCACAAGGTCAGAGATCCTACAGGGATGTGGGGGTAATTTGAAATCTGCTTTAGGTAGGGACAGCAAAGTCTAAAGAGTGGGAGCAGGGGGAGAGGCTGGGTGAACCAGAGCAGGGCACGACTGTTAAATGGCCCCATGGATCTGCCTGTGAAAACTGATGGTTGAAGTTTCCGGGAATTTTGCAAGCTGGTTGGCGTCTGGGTGCCTTGAAATTGGCCACGGTGGGAGCACTTACAGCTAGGAAATTGGTGAATGGTGCAAATCAGGGCTGAACCCTCCTTTCCAACCCCTGCCCCAAGAGCCAATTGTTAGATATTAACCAGCACACCACTAATGCCAGGGGACTCCCCAAGTGACTTCCTTCCATTCTCCTTGGTGTGACACGGGAGGAAACTAGCCTTACATTCACAGCTGGTCTCCAACGGCCGCTCCAGACCCTCATGTTTCCTTTAAGGGAATTCTACCTGTGGGGCTCACTGTGGACCGGGTGGGGAATGGCACTAATGCAAACATGCAGCACTATCCCTTTAAAAGCAGAGGAAGCGAGGGCACAGAGGAGGAGGAGGAGGAAGGCTTAAGCAATGCCCAAGAGCAGGAAAGACTCAGGCAAGTGAAACAGCCTGAATCAGGCCTAGGGTTGATGAGCCTCTCCCGGTCCTCAGCCACATGTTTTGGTGCAAGCCCCCTGACACTATTGTGTTTCCTGCTGCAGGAGAAATACCTGCTCACACACTTCGAGGAGTAATGAAGAGAACAAGATCACGTCTAGTGGACAGGCCAAGGCGGTGCTGGCCCTGGGGAGGCCCATCTATGTGACTCTTGCCTCTTCTCTTAGCTGTGGGTCCTTCTTGGAGTGAAGACCCCAGGACCAGCATCCGCCTGCTTCCCTTTCTTGGATGTGATAATCACCAAGCTTCCCTGTGTCCTCAAGGTGGAACCAGCCCAGCCCAAATCGAAGAGCTCAAGGACCCCTGCCGCAATTATTCTCCTTCTCCTCCTCCTCTTCACCTCCTTCCTTTTGGTATGTACATGGATGTTTTGCCTACATGTATGTTTGTATACCACATGCTCTTAACCTCTGAGCCATCTCTTCAGCTCCCTTGTCCCAGTTCTTAAGAGATCCAACCACTCTGACAGTCTTGTCTTTACACCAGGGTGAGCAGAAGAATTTTGGGGGTGGATGTAAGAGACGCCACTCTGCCTGCCCTCACTATACTTGAATGACACCTTTCATTAAGCACCTGCCTTCTCCAGTTGTAGGGGAACAGCTGCCGCCCATCAGAGTCTCCCTGAATAAAATGAAAGTTTGCAGCAGGCTTTCATGCTGATGAGCAATCCTGTGCAGTCCCTCAGTCCATTTTACAGACAAGAAAACAGACATCGGGCAGCTGAAGAAACCTGGAGTCCCTTGTTGCCTGTATCTGTCACCCAACAGACCTCTCAAACAGAACTTCAAGTCAATTTCCACAACAATGATTGTGCTAAAAAACACTTCTAACAGGTAGAACCTAAGTAGAGAAGTGTGGAGGGCTTATTAGCCCAAAGTGGCCTACTGCTGTGTTGATTTTTCTCTTGGAGGCCATAGAGGAACAGATCCTCCGGAGAACCTGAGTTAGAGGAAAAAGCTGATGGCTAGGGGCTTCAACCCTGAGCTCCAAATTGCAGTCAACTGCCAGAATCCACTGGGAATTCTGCTCTGATACTCACTGAATTCAGGGTTAGGGTTAGGGTTAGGGCTAGGGCTTGAGTAGAGAAATGGAGCAAACTCATCCTAGCATGCTAGAAAGGCACTCTGTGCTGGGGAGAGCAGAGTTAGAGTTATGAGCGTCACATAAAAGTGGTTTCAAATCCCATCATTGACTCTGACTGCTGGGCAACTTCTCATATGTAACTTTCCCTTCGATGCTTTATCTGAGGAACAGTGATGTTTCCTACACCCATCCCTGCTGAGAGGGTAGATGCCCCCTTTGAAGGGGTTGTCCTTCTGTATATATGCTTCTCTTATTGGTTAATGAATAAAACACTGGTTGGCCAAGCAGGAAGATAGGAGGGGCTAGGAGATGAGGAGAATTCTGGGAGATGTAGGCAGACAGCAGTTATCATGTGAGCCCCGCAAGAGAGGACACCAGTCAGGCGTTCTCTGGTAAGATGAGACCATTGGAAATACATGTGTTAGTAGTTACAGATTAGTAATTAAGACAGAGCTAGCCAATAAGAAGCTCAAGCCATCGGCCAACAGTTTTATAATTAATATAGCATCTGTGTGTTCATTTGGGGCTGATGCAGCTGTGGGACCAGGCTGGTGGGTAGAACCATCCGTGTCCCTTTGTGGAGACACCATGGAGTGAACAGTGGCCAGATCTTTCATGTTTACTGTTGTAACCTCATTGCCCAACACAGAGGCCATCCAAACTCTATGGAATGTAGGAGGATTGGTGTGGAGCAGCTAGGACTTCCCATCATACACCGATACCTTTCTTGCTGACTCCAAATGTCTCAGGTCGTAACAGGGAGGCCTACAGTCTGACCACACACTGGCTGGAGTAGCGGGCACCCTGCCGTGATTCGGAGCTAAGGGACCTCAGCAGGTCAGATGTGCTGAGGTGGCCTCTCCTTTACATTTGGCTCTGTCTGCCTGTGGGACCTGGGCAAATTCTTCAGCCTTTCTGATCCCTGTCTATAAAATGGGAAGAATTCTTTATACCTATGGTTAGGGATTGCTAGGATGAAATAAGATAGGGCAGGAGGAGCAGCTGGAGCCTAATAAGCCGCAGCATGGCAGTTGCTGTTAATATAATCTTTGCATCTTAAATCCTGCACCCGCTAGCTGGCTGCCTCTCTTTTCCCCTGTGGGTTGCCCTGCGGTCCTGTCACATTAGTGTTCCTCTGCCCAAGGAACCCACTCTGTAATACTCCTAGGGAAGTGGGGCCACAGGGTGACAGAGACAGACACTACCAGTCACCGACTGTCCCCTTGCGTAGGTGACTCAGTTCTGTGGAGTCCCAGTTGAACAGAGTGAATATTACCTCTCCCCATGTCTGCCAGGAGGCCATAAAGGAGCATGGCAAAGACTGGGTGCTTGGCTGACTGTTTCATAGCACTTTCTGGGATCTTGTAGTGCCGGGGATGGAACCCACGGCCTTGTGCATGCTAAGCAAGTGCTTTACCCATGAGCTATAGCCTTGGGCCACTAAGCACTGTTGATGTTTTCTTTTGCCAGTCTTCCCCAGAATCCATGCCCGACTCTGCCGTACCTTCTGAGAGGCCCCAGGGCCCATACCTTCTGGGTTTCCTCACCATAGTGTATTGCTCTTGTGGCCCTTTGATCATATGTCTTTTTCAGGTTCCTTGCTACAAACCTTGATCGACCCGTACCTGTACCTTCTCAGCAGGACACTTCTAAGACACAATCCCCTCCTCCTCTGAGTCCTAGACCTGGCCAGAGAAAGTCAGGACGGGCAGTCCTAATGGAGCCCCACAGGTTCTGAGTGGCTCTAGCTCACCCAGTAAGGGTTGCAAAGGCTCAGGGCAGCAACTGGCAACTCCTTCTAGTGCAGGAAAAAGCCAGCATGGGTTCCTTTCCCTAGCATCCAGTATACAATCCAAAGACCTGCCTGGGAGAGGGTCAGAGCTTGAAGTCATTTGGTAAAGAGCAGCTTTGGGCAGAACAGGTGGGAGACAGCATCGGGCATGACCAGTGTTGGAGAGGGAAATGATGTTCTCAGAGTGCTCTAAGCCGGGTCAGTTCACTGAACCCCAGCAAGGGGACCAGCACTCTTCTCTACACTCTTGCCCCTCATACCCCAGTGCTCTGGGCTGCCTGAACATGTCTGATGGTTCCCCTGGCTGCCTCTGTAGGAAGGAGCTGGAGTCCTGACTCTCCCAAGAATCCATTCATTTCTCCCCACTCCGCAGGACCTCTGCCTCCTCTGTATTTGTATCCAGTCTCAAAGTCTTTGGGTGAATAGCTTTCCTGGCTCTAGCGCGTTGTTAAACAGCTGAATGGATGCCGGGCATTGGTGGCGCACGCCTTTAATCCCAGCACTCGGGAGGCAGAGGCAGGTGGATCCCTGTGAGTTCGAGACCAAGCCTGTCTACCCAGCGAGTGAGTTCCAGGACAGGCTCCAAAACAATACAGAGAAACCCTGTCTCGAAAAATGAAAAACAACTGAATGGAGGACAGAATGGGTGAGTGCTAGTTGAAAGGCTCCCGACAAACAAAATGCTACAGAGGGTTCCTCAAAATGTCTGCAGTCACACTACGGAGAGGAGGCAGTGACAGAATCGGGACAGCACTTGACAGTGAGGGGCTTCTGGGACAAAAGGCCTGAGCCCCTCCACCAGGATCCCTGAGCCAGCCAGAGAGTTAGGGTGCTGTGCAATGTGTGTGTGTGGTGTCCTGGACTAATTAATTCATTACACACAGCTTTATAAGCACTGGGTTGGTTACCAAAGCAAGTCTTATCAGTTGCTCTCTCCCCCTGACTGCATACCTGGGGCATCACTGACAAGAAGCTACAACAGAGGCCAGGAAAGGGAGAGAAACCCTGTCTCACACTTCCCAACTCTGTATAGTTTTGGGGGGTGTGATCACTCCCCTCCTTCCCGTTTATTTCCAGAGGATCCCTTACTACTGTCACAGTCCTAAGCCAGCCAGTGATTTCCAATAGGCCCTTTAGGAAGCCTAACAGAGTCTGATTGGGGTGTGTGTGTGTGTGTGTGTGTGTGTGTGTGTGTGTGTGTGTGTGTGTGTGCGCGCACGCACGCGCGTGCGCGCGCCCGTGTGTGTTAGCTGGAAAAACATATCTGATATGCCTATTGTGTTCCTAATAAAAACGTAATTAAAGTGCAATCCCATCTGGGCCATGGAGATGCACAGAAGATGCATAGTGAGCAGATGCTGAGAAACCCCATCCCAGGTTCCTACGACAGTGTTCACGGGTTACAGGGCAAGAAGGGCAGAAGTTCCTCTTTACCCCTACGGAAACTAAGGCCCCACTGGGGCAGGAACTCTAGTTCTGCGCCTCTGATATGCAGCACACAGTTGGCAAGGCCTGCAGGAAGCACTCAGCATTTGTTAAAAAGATGAGCGAATGGAGGAGATCATTGCTGAAATTACCTGCCTGACTTTGTGTAATATACAGCAGCAGGGTGAGGGGCTTCCCCAAGATGCCTGGGTGTCTGCTCTGGTGGACATCCTATTCTCCAGACCACCAACTCCAAGGGCAACAGGAGTCCTGGGGTCTTACTCACCCAGCCCCTCCTGCTAGGCCGCAGGGACACTGAATCAATTCAAAGGTGGCACAGGAGAGGACATGTCAAGTGCTCTCAGCCCGGCTGCTGACTTGGATCACCTGCTCCCTGATTTATTTTAGGCTTTGCATCCTTGGACCGCCAACTATTTTTGTAGCTCTTTAGGGCACTTGTCCTGCCTGCTTGGAGACAAGAAGTTAGACAATAAGATCTCTGCTTCCGATAACTACAGGAACTGAGGTAGTAAGTTAATCAAAGACAAATCCTAAACCGGGTCCCGAGCCTGTCTCGTCACAGGCTTTCTAGTCCTGGGGCTAGTCCATCATCTCCTATGCAGGGGCACAAAGGGCCCAGCTAGACCTGAAGCTTGCTTCTGCCTTCTAGGCAATGAAGAATCCAGGTCTAAAGGCATGGGTGGCCCAAGCAGGCAGGGAGAAAGGTCATTGGATATAAAGGGAAGAAAGGCCCACAGCAAAACAAAGAATCTGTTTTGATGAGTCAAATCGAAGGAAGATGGGTCTCCCATATGGTCCCTGGGGTGTTGCCCCCAGGGGCAGAGGGAACTGTCAATCATAGCTACAGAAAAGGCTTAGGGGGACTTTCAAAGCAGATGAATTAACTCTGTGCTGCAAAGTGAATGTGTTTCACAGGCAGCTGAGCAGAGGACCCTGCAAGGCAGGGGGCTCCAGGCCTTAAAGAGATGAGAGGGATGTAAAGGGGTGTGACAACATCTGAACCTGCTTGCCCGTCACAGCTGCACTGCCTGGATGGAGGCCATTCACAGCCAGGGGCCCCATCCACCCCCTTCTGCCTTGTTAATGAAACCAGCATGGGGATCCTAATGACTGATCAAAGCCCAGCCAGCTTCCCCAGGCCTGATGCACCCCTGGTTCTGCTTGGAGCATCAGGGCCAGGAGAGAGAGGGGAAGCCCCGGGTATTGGGGCAAGAGAGAATGCCTTGTAGCTGGTCTCTGCCTGGTCTTACCTCCCCCCCCCCCTTGCAGGAAGGTGGGAAAGCACCCCTTTGACCCTCGATATAGCACGGTTTCTCTTTACTCTGAGGGTTGCAGAGGGCTAAAGCAATGGAACTCTGTTTCCTCACGGGGCTTCCATCTGAAGGGAATGTCCCCAGCTGAGCCTGGATCCTGAGTTCTCATTTTGCCATCTTGCGCTCTCTGATGAATGAGGAAGGCAGTTCTGAGTAAACTGCCCAAGTCCCTTTCGGAGCAAGTCCTGTCATGTCATTCAATGTCAGCTCCCAGCTGCCTGCCTGTCCATCTATTCCTGATCTCCCCTACCCACTGAGCGTCACGTCCACCAGAGCTGAAAAGGGGTCCACTAAGATTCCTGCTTCCCGGTCAAGTGTTCACGCAGCAGGGGTTTGTTGGAGATGTGCAGACAGAGAATATTAAACACTGAATATCTACACCAGTAGACCAGATGATTTAAATATGTGTCTTGCCTGTAAACCAAGAACATTTATGGAACAGTAGGCATGTGTCTGTGTTTGAGGCAGAGTAGGGTGGGGCTTGCTGCCTTGTGGTTTCCCGGGGTTTGGGAAGGGTGGGGAAGCCGTTGCCCTCACTAGCAAATCCATTTCCTGCAGTTGCTGGTGGAGCTACAGAGGGGAGAACTTGGCATGGTGGGCTGCATGGGCATATGCTGCCTGGCAAGAGACAGGAAGGCTTCAAGGTGTTCCTGAGGTGGGGAGAGAGCATGCGAACGAAGGGTCTATGGCTAGAAGGAGCCACAGGGTGGTTGATACCACGAGAGTTCTGGAGTGAGAGCGCTGGCATTTTATGAATGTTTAATAAAGGGACATGACTTTGAGAGGTCCATGGAAGTCGGCAGCAGTTCTGGGGTAGTAGTGGCGGCTGTAAAAATCCCAGCGACTGTGATAGCCAGGCTCATTGTGACAGGGTTGCATAAGAACAGAAACGATGATAAAGGAATGGACACGACACATTGAACTGAGGGCCCATACGTCTTCATAGCCA